AACTCCAATTCTAAGCAGTTCATGTAAAAGAAGAAAAGGAGATGCAGATGGCTCATGTAGCCATAATACAGGGAGAGGTCCTGACACTGGCCTTTGGGATGCCTAGAATCAGATGGGTCAGTCTGTCTGCCCAGCTATTTCTGGAGGTATGCTCTCTCTTGGTTTCTCTCCTCACTCTGTCTCTTGTTCTGTTTCTTTCTTCCATGTTGGCTTTATTCTCTCCCACTGCAGGCAGTTTCTGTGTAGGAAGGTGACATGGCTGCCAGCAGTCCTAAACACATATCCTCAGATCCTCTCAGAGAGGAGAGAAATCTTACCCAACATCTCTCATTATAAAAGATGCCATGGAAGGCTTTCTCAGGCCCTCTTTAGGTATTGTGTCCATCCCTAGAGAGAAGTATTATATAAAACAGGCACTGGTCTCCTGATTCCAGGGTTTGTTATTGTTATTTGTTTGTTTATTCAGACTGTTAGGATTACTTTGGTGAATTCTTTATTCTTCCAGTGTCTGATTTTATACCTCATGGTATGCCTATAGTTACTCTTTCCATGACCACACCCAGCTGTTAAAACCCACTAACGTCTAGAGGTGAAAAAGTGGTTCCCCCAAAACCATGTAGACAGCCCAGACAGACTTTAGGAATGCCAAATATCAGGGAACTATCTCAGTTTGTATCTAATATATCAAATAATTTAAGGGATTGTATTAAATTACGGAATATTAAATTATGGAATACATTACTAAGGTAGGACCTATATACTTAACTGAAAATATCCCAAAACATGAATATCTTAGCTCTCTATGAGGATTACATACAGTATTAATGTGATCAGCTAACCTCTCCTACTTCTTTTAAGTTCAATGATTACAGTGATGGTACTCTACCTGGAAAAAGGTAAAGCCTAAAGATACTTCCAAGATCACTTACTATCCCTAATTTTCTATTAAAGCAAAATGTACATTGTTTTATTATCAATGCAAAACATAGAAATTAGTGCCTTAAATCTCTCTCTGGTTTTTGTGAATCTTACCAGATTAGCCTGGGGGAGGGTGAGGAAGGCTCGGTATAATTATTATGTGAAGCATGATAAGAACTGATGTACCAAAAGATTTCTAAGCCACAGTGAACTCAAGCCCAAGGCATCCCTAGACTGGCTCACTAACACCACAATAACCAAACACTGCCCACAACAGGCAAAAAGAGCCATTGTAGACAACTGGACTGAAGGAAAAAGCAGCTCAGCTACAACAGCAGGGCATGCACATCACACGTAGGAGATATCCCTGAAGTGCCATGTTCTTATGAACAGGGAACACTGCATGGCAGGGCACTATAGGACCTCTTCTTCACAAAGCCATTACTTTCAAATACAGGAGATGTAGCTGTCTTTCCTAACACACAGAAACAGACCTAAAGAGACAGGGGCATATGTCCCAAATGAAAGAACAAGACAAAATCATAGCAAGAGACCTAAGCAAAATGGAGATAAGTAACACACTTGACAGAGAATTTAAAGTAATGATCATAAAGATCTCACTGGGCTTGAGAAAAGAGTGGAGTACATCAGTACCTTTTTACATGAGGTAAAAAAGAAAAAGAGATGAAGAACATAAAAATGAAATTAAAAATACACTGGATTAAATAAATGGTAGACCAGAAGCAGCAGAAGAACAAATCAGTGACCTGGAAGACAGTAATGGAAAGTCATCAAGTTGAGCAGCTGAGAGAAAAAAATAATTATGGAAAATGAGGACAGACTTAGAGAACTCAGCAATACCATCAAGTATAATAACATTCATGGTACATTAGGGATCCCAGATGGAGGAGAGAAAGAAAAGGGGGCACAAAATTTATTTGAAGAATTAATAGCTGAAAATTTCCCTAATCTGGGGAAGGAAATAGAAATCTAGATCCAGGAGGTATAGAGATACCCCTCCCACCAAAATTGACCCAAGAACGTCCATACCAATGTAATTTAGATGGCAAGAATTAGTGATAAAGAAAGAACTTTAAATTAGCAAAAGAAAAGAAAGCATTTACAGAGAAGGGGCAACCCAAAAAGGTGATCAGCTGATTTTTCAACAGAAATTTTGCAGGTCAGAAGAGAGTGGCATGATATATTCAAAGTGCTGAAAGGAAAAAAATCTGCAGGCAAGAACATTCTATCCAGCAAGTCTATCATTCAGAATAGAGGGAGAAATGAAGAGTTTCCCAGACAAACAAAAGTTAGAGGAATTCATGACCACTAAATCAGCCCTACAAGAAATGCTGAAGGGAACTCTTTAAGTGGAAAGGAAAGACCATAAGTAAGGGTAAGGAAAGTAGGAAGCACAAAAGCAGTAAAAATAAGTGTATGTGTAAAAATCAGTCAGGGGACTCAAAAAATAAAAGGATATAAAGTATGACACCATATACCTAAAACATGGGGAGGAGTAAAGAATGAGTTCAAGCTTAAGCAATCATCAACTTAATACTGACTGCTGTACAGAAGATGTTATATACAAACTGAAGCGTAACCACAAATCAAAAATCAGTAGTAGAGATGCGAAAAAATAAAGAGAAAGTAATCCAAGTATATCACTAAAGAAAGCCAACTAATCATGAGAGATCAAGAGAAGAAAGGAATGGAGAAGAAATACAAAAACAACTATAAAACAAGTAACAACATGGCAATAAATGCATACTTATCAATAATAATTACTTTGAATGTAAATAGACTAAATGCTCCAATCAAAAGACATAGGGTGATGAACTGGATAAAAAACAAGACCCATCTGTACATGTCTACAAGAGATTTATTTCAGACCTAAATACACATGCAGATTGAAGTGACCAGATGGAGAAGCATTTTTCATGCAAACGGAAGTGAAAAGAAAGCTGGGGTAACAATACTTATATTTGACAAAACAGACTTTAAAACTAAGATGGGAAACGATCTAAATGTACAATAATCACAAATTTAAAAAGAAAGTATGGCATATCCATGTACTAGAATATGATCAGAAAAAATTGTGTTATGAAGAATATGCAATAATATAAACACTCTTAGTATATCACATGCTTTGTTTAAAAAGATAGTTATAAAATATTTAAATCCCATTATTTAAAATTGTATTATTTAAAATGTACGTACATATTTTATATGTATGTAAATTCTTGTCTGTATCTTATGTTTTCTAAATTTTTATAATAAAGAAATAATTTATGTAAGAAAAAATCAATAAAATTATTATTCACTTAAGTGAATACAGAGGCTTAAGTATTAAAGTTAAGTATTAAAGTATTAAGTATTAAAAACACTTGAACATTATTGAGGATTGTAAGGAAACAATTGCCATTAGCAGATTACTTGTTCTTCTTTGTAGTGATTTCTCTGCAACGCTTCATACTATTTCACAATTTGGTCCTGAACTTTATCAAAACCCATGAACATATACGATCTTCAAAATAGCTATGAGGAATATTGCTTTTGTGAACTGATGATTAGCACTCTGGGGACAATGTGTGCACTTTCTTTCTTTTTTTTAAAAGATTTTATTTATTTAATTGAGAGAGAAAGAGTATGAGCAGGAGGGAGAAGCAGACTCCCTGCTGAGCAGGGAGCCTGATATAGGACTTGATCCCAGGATCCTGAGATTATGCCCTGAGCCACACAGGTGCCCCAATGTGTCCTCCTTCTTATCTCAGATTTTACTGCTGGGCTTAACAGTGCTGTACTCCTGCCAGTGTTCATTCATTCATTGAATCAATGTTAAATGAATATTAAATTCCTGAAGTCCTCTCTAATTGCTGAAAGCACCCTACAGAATTTGCTGTGAGATGTACATAAACTGTAACCTGCCAAAATAAGACCCCAAAGTTGATTTGGGAGATATAATTAAGGACAACTGCTTTCACTTTTTAGCTCTGAGTTAGGTTTAAAAATATATATATAGGTTTAGCTCTGAATTAGGTTTAAAATAAACAGTGTTGATCCCAGAATGGAATGTGTGTAAAGAGTTCATATTTCTATTAGCTTATCTGGTATTTTATAACAAGATTTTAATAGGTCTTCCATTTTGATCTCATTTGCTGTGATCCAATGTGACTACAATAGGTTGGACAAACTGTAAAACTCCTAAAAGAAAGGAGCAGTGCCGAACAATTATCATGATTTCAAAGTGACATCCCTCTTGCCTAGCCCATTGTCTAATTGTATTTCAGCAGCAGACATATTTTCTAAAATTTATTTTTCATCCACGGGAAATGCACAGGAGCCCTTATCTTCTGGCATGCTTTTGCCCTATCGCTTTAGTAATTTGAATCACCCACCCAAGTTCAAGGAAAGTACCACGAACATAACAAGTCCTTACCCAAGTCCAGTGTATTTTGTTCACCTAGTTTACTGCCTTACCATCTGCCCTTCACTTCTGAAGGACTTGCAATAAAGCAGGAGCCAAAGTAAAAGCAGATACCCCACTGCTATCTATTTAACTTTCATTAAGTGAGTTGGTGCAGTGCTCAGGCGCCTTCTCAAAACCAGCCCATCATCTAAGAGTATTTACATAAGACTCTTTGCATTATATTCCGACCTCTGCAACATTAGTATTAACTACTGACATCTGCCAAGTCTGACTGGTAAGTGCTTTACAGTATCAATTCATCCCAAGCAAAAAGCATTTCTGAGTGCTGCAGTGCTCTTGTTAATGCCAATAAGAAGTATCAAAGCTCATATGACACCTAGCAGAAATTAGTACCCACATTCAAAGAAAAGTCTTTGTTATTTCCCAGAGTATTATGTGGACTTTATTGAGATGACTGCATCTGACACCTGCTGTAATATAAAATGCAGCTATAATTAGCCAACTGATGCTCACTGCAGTTTAGGTCGAATCCCTTCTGTGGGAATTATGCTTTAAAATATTCAGAACTCCAAGTGGCTCTCATTACATTTAATTTTAACTTAGAATTAGGTGGTCTAGAAAAAAAATTTAGGATTGTAATAGCCCCCTGCTGAATGCCACACAGCAACGTGAAAACCCATAGGGTTTTTCCCCCCTCTAAATTAAAAAAAAAAAAAATGAGAACAGCAGACTACACTAGAGCCTTCAATTGAAGTCTGGCTTTGCTTAATTGTACTTTTTGCACTCATCAGTCTCTCCTCTTCAGAGCAAGCTACAAAAATTGCGTGAATAGCCAAAGAAAAGTTTCCCACAGTCACTGGCCACAGAAAAACACTATTGTCCTTCCTCACAGTTTGATGGACAACATTTCTATAAATGGGTAGCCAGGCTGTCAATGGTACCCTTGCTGAAAAGGCAAAAGAAGAGAACAGATTCTGCCAATATCTGACAAAGCATGTTAACACATAATCAGGCATTCACTAGTCAGGCAGCTGCCCCTGGGACCTTCATCACACAGGTGCCTTTAAGCCATTTCCTATTCACAGATAAAGGAAACAAGCAGGAGATACCTGGGAAAGGAGCAGTCTATTATGGCTTGCCAAATGTCCATCTTCCAGGCTGTGTGTATAAAAGTAGAAAGAAGAAAAAGGAAACTGTGGCTTCAATTGAAAAACTGTAAAATAGCAGAACATTTACAAAACCTATCATTTAAGCTGTGCTGTTTTTTCCCTTTTCTTTTCTCTTTATTTATTTATTTATTTATTTATTTTTTAGGAGGAGTGGATGTGTTTGTTTGTTTGTTTGTATGGCATAGAGCACTCGTGTCTAATAGCAAAGGTCTGTCTTCCTCAGTGGTTTGTCAAATGCATTTGTCCAAACATCCCTTCACACGCAGGCTGAAATACTTACCTGGTCTAATTGAGTAACAGAGAATTTACTTTGTCACCTTAAGTGATTTTTTTTTCTACACACACACACACACACACACACACCACACTCACACACACATACACACTCCATTTTAAGATCTGTGACCAGTGATGCCAAAGTGGTAATGGGGTAGATGATTGTCCAGTAAAGCACAAACTCTGACTATCTCTTGAGGAGCCACCAAAATAAACATTCAGGAAATTGATTACCATTGTTCATTTCTTCATAACTGCTTAAGACTAAGAACATTGGTATCCCACTGCTCTGATCTACCCAGTTAGACAGAGTATCAGACCTTAATACTCCATTAAGCCAAAGGCTTCATCAGTCTACATATAGGGCATTTTCAAATTAAAATTTAATAAGACAATTTCAGATTAAAATTTCATGATCACCACCTTAAGGCTGTTAAACATGAATTTCTATTTTATTTCTTCATTTTCATTTTATTTATTATCATACTCTCAGATCTCCTATACTCAATGTATGGTACAGATATGGGAAAGAACCAGGAGTACAATTTTGGGTAGTGATTAAATCCTCAGGGACCTCAGATTGACTAAATGTGGTCCTTGCGATACAGTTTGAAGATCTGACACACTCATAACCATATTTTCCTCTGAAAGGCAAGGTACTATAAAGCTACTGGGGAGCCACAAAGTCCAACATAGTGATATAAACCAAATGCCATGAATTAAACTACTACTTTTTCAACTAACTTCTTGAGTGCTACTTATTTTATATAGCTTCCTCATCTGAAAAATAGGAGTGCACTGCTTACCACAAAGTTTTGTGAGTAGTCACCAATGAAAGTTGCTGCCTTTGGTGTAGAAAGAGAGAACATCTGCTAACTGGAACAAACCAATCAAGGATCATGAACACTTTAGAAATATAACCTTGCATTCTCTCATCTAAAATGTTTTTTTTTCCTTATTTCTTCTTTTTACTTATTTCTAGAATAAAATAATATTATGAGGTAGAGTTTAGTTAATAAATCATTAAGTTACAATTTATTGATTTTATAATTTTTACAAATATATGAAGATAGAAAATTTTCCTTAAATTTCAATTCAATAATATTTAGTGTTTGCTTATATACAATCATTGACATTACTATCATACCTATTACATACTAGGCACTTTATATATGTTTCATTATTTAATGACAACTCTGAGATAGATTACAATTATTATTGCTATTTTATTTATTAAAAAAATTTTTTAGGGATTCCTGGGTGGTTCAGTCAGTTAAGCGTCTGTCTTTGGCTCAGGTCATGATCTCAGGGTCCTGGGATCGAGTCCCACATCGGGCTCCTGGCTCAGCAGGGAGCCTGCTTCTCTCTCTGCCTGCCTCTCCCCCTGCTTATGCTCTCTCTCTCTCTGACAAATAAATAAATAAAATCTTTAAAAAAAATTTCTTTTAAATTAAACTCTACCTATACAAGGGGCTTGAACTCACAACCTAAAATCAAGAATAGCATGGTCTACCAACTAAGCCACCTAGGTATCCCTATCATTGCCATTTTGTAGTTGGGGAAATTGAGGCTCTAGAAGGTAGAGTAGTTTAATCTTCTCTACTTCTCTATCAAATTGCAGACTTTGGATATGTCTCCTTCCAAAGACCATGCTTTCCCTATGAAACCATGGTTCATGTTTTAATAGGACAAAATGAATTTTTATTTTTTCATGATTTGAAAACAAAATATGGTAATAAGTGTGGGTTTCTTAACCACCGTAACATAAATTAAATCAACCTCTTACCTCTAGGTAGGATAACCAAAACTTTTTTGAATAATTGAATTTGAGTTTATTTTTCTTAACTATTTCTAGAGAAAGCATTTCCATCAGTGACCAAATTTATACCTGAAATTTTAACCGAAGACTACTTTTATCTCAAAGGCATGGTCTATCTCACCAACCAAATTGAAACTCCTTAAGGTCAAAAAGGAACCCAGTCTTCAGCTTTCTCAAAAAATTTTTGTAACGAAAGCAGGAAAGAATGTCCAATGGAAAAAAGACAGCCTCTTCAATAAATGGTGTTGGGAAAATTGGACAGCCACATGCAGAAAAATGAAATTGGATCATTTCCTTACACCACACACGAAAATAGACTCAAAATGGATGAAGGACCTCAATGTGAGAAAGGAATCCATCAACATCCTTGAGGAGAACACAGGCAGCAACCTCTTTGACCTCAGCCGCAGCAACATCTTCCTAGGAACATCACCAAAGGCAAGGGAAGCAAGGGCAAAAATGAACTATTGGGATTTTATCAAGATCAAAAGCTTTTGCACAGCAAAGGAAACAGTTAACAAAACCAAAAGACAACTGACAGAATGGGAGAAGATATTTGAAAACGACATATCAGATAAAGGGCTAGTGTCCAGAATCTATAAAGAACTTAGCAAACTCAACACCCAAAGAACAAATAATCCAATCAAGAAATGGGCAGAAGACATGAACAGACATTTCTGCAAAGAAGACATCCAGATGGCCAACAGACACATGAAAAAGTGCTCCATATCACTCGGCATCAGGGAAATACAAATCAAAACCACAATGAGATACCACCTCACACCAGTCAGAATGGCTAAAATTAACAAGTCCGGAAATGACAGATGCTGGCGAGGATGCGGAGAAAGGGGTACCCTCCTACACTGTTGGTGGGAATGCAAGCTGGTGCAACCACTCTGGAAAACAGCATGGAGGTTCCTCAAAATGTTGAAAATAGAACTGCCCTATGACCCAGCAATTGCACTGCTGGGTATTTACCCTAAAGATACAAACGTAGTGATCCGAAGGGGCACGTGCACCCGAATGTTTATAGCAGCAATGTCTACAATAGCCAAACTATGGAAAGAACCTAGATGTCCATCAACAGATGAATGGATAAAGATGTGGTATATATATACAATGGAATACTATGCAGCCATCAAAAGAAATGAAATCTTGCCATTTGCGACGACGTGGATGGAACTAGAGGGTATCAGGCTTAGCGAAATAAGTCAGTCAGAGAAAGACAACTATCATATGATCTCCCTGATAAGAGGGAGAGGAGATGCAACATGAGGGGTTAATGGGGTAGGAGAAGAGTAAATGAAACAAGTTGGGATTGGGAGGGAGACAAACCATAAGTGACTCTTAATCTCACAAAACAAACTGAGGGTTGCTGGGGGGAGGGGGGTTGGGAGAGGGGGGGTGGGGTTATGGACATTGGGTAGGGTATGTGCTATGGTGAGTGCTGTGAAGTGTGTAAACCTGGAGATTCACAGACCTGTACCCCTGGGGAAAAAAAATATATATGTTTATAAAAAATAAAAATAAAAATAAAATTAAAAAAAAATTTTTGTAACGAAACATAACCTCTTAGTAGTTTCTTCTCCAGGTGTGCCCTAAAAACTCCTATAACTTAAAACACTCTTTTATTCTGGCTTTGGTTGAATCCACAGTTTATTGCTATTTCCCATCAGGTCAAATATAAATGTTTTAGCTTGGTGTTCAAGTTCACAAAAAACTAACGCTAATGTGCCACTTCAACTTTTAATTTTACGCTTTACTCCGGCTGAGCAAATCTCATCTCTGCTTCATCCTTGCTCATTCCTGTCTCTGACTTCCTAGTTCCTACGTTTCTCTTCTTTCTATCAACCTAAACCTAGTATTTCATGTCCATCTAATGGTAGGTATACTTTCTTCAAGGAAATTTTAACTCACTCAACACTGATCTTTCACTTAATTTCATCTACCATTTTGATTTTATTATGTGGCTTATCACCATTCACTGGAATGATATGATAGTCTGTCTCATCCTCCAGTTGTTTCATGGAGCCTAGACTTATGTTTCCCGCCAAATTATAGCCCCCCTGGGGGCAAAAGAAGACCATGAGTCTTCAACAAATGAGAGAAGAATAAAACAGTTCACTCTAATGTTCCATATAACATTCTCTTATATTTAATCCTTGAAGAAAGTTATCATCCATTGATATTCTTCTAGTTCTGCAACTAGAAAAGGAAGGAACACTCAAATCTGACTTGAACAGAGAATGAGCTAAAATAATTGCCATTTCTAATCTTTTTTAAGTAGATGTGGAACTCAGTAGTACACAAAATATTTCTGGCTTTTCTCTTTCTGAGCACATGAGGGGATTATCATTCTTGACCCCATTTGAAGTTAGCATGGCCATATCCATGGCATTAGTCAATAAATGTGATCAGAAGTAACACGTATCACTTTTAGGGAGAAGCTTTAATATTTTGTGCTGTTTTCCATTTTACTTTTTCCTTCCTGCAGTAATTGTGAAAGAGTAGACCCCCTTCCTCAGCCAGGGTCTCTAAATGAGGATAATGTACAGCAGAGTCCCCAGCCAACTAACGATGCACATGTAACAGGAGGAAGAAACCAACTTGTTTGAAGCCACTAGGCCTAGCCTGCAGCGTTGGCCTACATCACTGCAGTGTAGCCTATGCTGCCTGATGTAACAGCTTTCTTAGGTCAGTATGGGATTCAGAATGCCAAGATACAAGAAGACTGAAAAACAGAATGACTAAATTAAAAGACTTTAATATAGAATCTGTAAATATATAGGATTAGGCATTTCATTTTTTAATGTGGTAGGTGAAGAATCAAGCTCAAAAGATCCCTTGAACATCTTATTGAGTTGTTTATAATCTCTTTTCTTTCTCTTCTTTGACATCCATTGTACTTTCAATCTCTGAACATTATTTTTAAATTTTGAAATTTTATACTGACCATAGACTCCACTAAAAAATCTTACCCATCACAAAATTTAGTGTTAGATTTCTTTAAAATTTATATATGTAATATTTCTGATTGAATTTTAAAATATCATTTGTGTCCTTGTAGCTATAGCTACAAAATGATATGCATATTTTGGGCATTATTTTGCTATTGGTATCATCCAGCAGTTAAAAGAAGAAATCACAGATCAAGCTTTATTCAACTACATAAAAGTTTCTTTAACCTAGCTATGTCACAAATACACACTTTAAAAATTTTATTTTTTATTGGGCCTGGGTGGCTCAGATGGTTAAGTGTCTGCCTTAGGCTCAGATTGTGATCTCCAGGGCCTGGGATCAAGCCCCACATTGGGCTCCCAGCTCAGCAGGGAGTCTGCTTTCCGTCCCCCACCAGCGCTGTGCCCTTACCCCTGCTTGTCCTCTCTGTTTGTGTGTGTGTCTCTCTCTAATAAATAAATAAGCCTTTAAAAATTTTATTGTTTTCTTAGATTTGTTTTAAAAAGGAATATACAGCTAAAGCTTCAAATATGAAATATGAGAACCTACTGAGTGTGCTTGTTTTGTTTTTACTTTTATTCTTTTTTATATACTAATATGCTGACAGATGCATTCCCCTATGACTACATTCTTCACCACACATAAGTACTATATAGTTATGAATAATGAAATTTAAAAAGCACAATGAAAGAACAGCACAACTGTTTTTTTATTTCTCACTCTTGAGGACTCATTGCAATATTTCCTGCTCCATATTAAGTTTGAGAGCTTCTGAGAAGTATTCTTAGAATTCAGATCTTTTGGAAAGAATAATGATTCAATTAGAGTTTTTTTTAATCATGATGATTACTTTATGATAATGATCTTGTATGGCTAAGATGTTGCACTTACATCGCACTTAGATGCAGCATTTCATTTTAGCAAATTCCAAGAATCATCCATGACTTTATTATTGTACCTGATTTTTACAAGTTCTTTATCTAAGAACCTCTTCATTCTCAATTGAAATAGGGATGCTATTTGATAAAGTGCAGTGATAACCAGTACCAGCTGAAAAACATGACAAAATGAAGAATATCAGAACCATTTGAAAGCAAACCAGAAATTCCCATTTGTAGTCTTAAAAATCCTCCTTGGAATCAGTTCAGAAACCAGTCTTTCGGAGGTGTCTCACAATTCCCTTTAAGTTTCATTGGAGAAATCTAGACTTTAGTAATACGTATGATATAAGGCAGTATTAGTTTCTTCCCGCAATAAAAGCAGGGAACCAAGGCTATACCACCATCACCATTTCTAGTAACAGCCTGCTAACTAAAAACTGAAACTAGCCAAATTCCTGACAATTTCATTCACTGGAGTGGCAAGACACGGATGGAAACAGTACTTAAAATGAATTATTAGAGTGAGCAAAGAAAAAAATTTATTTTGTAAAAAGATTAACCATTTTTTCTTTTGCCATGCCCAGTTAAGGTGTTCAACTTACCTTTGCTCATTCAACCAATATCTACTGAACCCTGACTATGTTAGGGAAATGAAACCCATGGCATTGGATAGAAATAGAAGGCAGGTTAGGATACATGTCATAGGAGCAGCACAGACAATGCTGGCCCCTTGAGAAAGCTTCTAGTTACAGGGGCCAGGGAAGCTTAGTGTGAGAGGTGAGTCTTAAAAAATAGGTGAGATTAAAAAAGGGGGGGTGAGATTTTAGTTGGTGTAGATGAGAATAAAACAGATAAAAGTGAATGAAGAGGACAATACAGATGACAAGGAAATGAGTATACTGTAGTAACTGCAGAGCATTTGAGCAAAATGGAAGTATGAAAACAGGATAGTTATAGTCAGCAGGGTCAGAATTTTAGTTGTTGATGATGGTGATGGGTTTCAGTGGGGGGGGGGTGTTTTAATGTAGCGAAATTGTCCTCCTTTGAGGGAGCTGAATCACTTTCAGAGGAAGAAAAAAAGGAATGGTATGAAGAGTCTAGCCCTGAAAATAAAAAACACCCCTTCCTTTTGAGAGAGGAAACCATCCTACTTTACTAAGAAAGAACATCCAAGGTCATAAAAGCTAATGCACGCTTCCTTTCTTTCCTTCTCCTCTACTTAAGGAGCCTGTTTTCAGCCTCTAAACCTATCTTTTCATCAACAGATACATTCATTGTAACATTTACTGAGCACCTACTATGTGCCAGAAATAAGCACAAGAGCCTGCCACATGGTTGATACTCAAAGTTTGCTGCTTTAAAGTAGAGAAAAGGCAAAATGAAAGAGCACTAGGTATCTATAAATTTCTCAGTAAAGTAGGATGGATATTATCTGGTGAGAATTATCTGGTGAGAATGGGAAGTGTAAGCAGTGAATTAGATGTGTGAGCAGAAAGATCTGAAGCACCTGCTGAGGGAAGTGTGCTGGGGAATAAATGGGAGATCAATATCAAGATTGTGAAGAAGCAATGAGAACCCAGTTGGAGTAGGCTAGATTGATTTTCCATTGGGCCAGAGGAACAGATATGACTTTCTCCAAGAATACTATTTGAACAAAATTCTCTACAGAACAGGATAAGGATGAGTGAAACATATAGGGGTAGGCTGGTGACTAAAGGTCAGGGTTGGCATGATGGAAAGATAGAGGTTTAATAATTGCAAAATGGAGTTTCTCACTTCCCTAAAAGCAAGGCCTCTCTCCTCCAAGTAATGTGGTGTTACATGACACTTCTCTCATATACTTAAACCATAAAAAATGAATTAGAATTATATTCTAAACTTTCCTATTCTAAAAATCACATTCTAACATGACTTCTGAAATAGTTGTATGATTAGTAAACCTGTTTTAGAATTGTTTTATTTATATCAAGCAGTCCACAGAAGTCCACAGAAGTGTCCTCTTATGATAAACTCCTGTCCTAATTTTCATAAAACTATACAAATATTAAATGCAAGATGTTATAAAATTGACATTAAATAAATAACATTTACTTTTCCATTGTGAGATTTTGTATGTGAAAAATCCCATATTATAAACCTTCTAAATTATTTTTTAAAAATAAATGGGAGATCCTTTTGGATAACATTTAATTTATACAAATTAAAGAATAGCCTCTACTGATTTAGCTATTACCACATTCATTTGTGATGCTCATTAGCTAGTCAGAATTTATATATCCTATATATCTGCATATCTGAAATGACCATAAGAAAATATGGCACAACAGCATTAGTTTATTCAAAAATGATATGATTGACTACATCACAATTCTAAAACTCTATGGCAGAATTAGTATCTTTCATTTTAAATGAATCTTCTGACACCTGGATTTTCCTCAGTTTAGATGGGTTCCTAGTCTTAGATGAAAAGAAGCTGACTGACTTGTTATTCTCAATTCTTCTCTTTCAGAACTCAGGTAAAGTCAAAATAAGCTAGTTTGTAGCAGTCAGGAAAATACCATTCTACAGGGTAAGAACTCAAAAGCTCTTCAGCATATACAGAGTATCTTTTCCTTTGGGAACCCTAAAATTCTCAGGATAGGGCTAGGTGCACACTAGACACTCAAATACTTGTGTGACTAGACTCCAAACAACCCAAGGGTGGATCTGTATCTGGCCTGTTCACAGTGGAATCTCCATTGTCTACCAAAGCATCAGTCACAAAACTGGTATTAAGGAGGAAAGAAGCTGGGAGGCACCAAAATAGTTCAATCGCAAGTAATAACATTCTCCTAGGCAGTATCTTGAAAGGGTCGGGCCTGAACAAAACATCTGCATTTTAACAATTGTCTTAATAATAGCACATGTTATTAAACACCAAAGGACTTCTGAAACTACTCATGTTAAAAAAATTTTAGAAAATTGCATTCAAATTATAGATAATCTACATATAAAATCACTAGCAGTTAATTGTTGCTTAATAAGCATACATTTGTTCTTGTAAATTTGGTATTTTCGTTGCCCATGACTTAACTAACTCACCTTTTAGAGAAAGTTGTAGGTTTTAAATGTCAATAGTTTTATCTTTCTTTTTTTTTTTTTTTTTTTTTTTAAGGGAGATATTGCTGCTGCCTGGGTAAAAAGCAGGAGGCAAAATAAGCTTAAAGGGTTTTGTTTATTATTATCACAGTAATAGTTCAAACCAATATCAAAAAAGATAAAACAGTTTATTATCCTTAGGGAGATTTTCCAAGTGTTTTGGAACCCCATTTGTATTGACAAAAATAAATTAGACGAAATTGGTCGAAAAGAGAGCTCTCCATATGAAGAGTTCAAAAGATGAATTATATTACTCTTCAGTTATTGATAATAACAATAATTTAGCTTACTACTTCAGTTTATAGTTTACAACATGCTTTCACATACTCTATCTCAATTGATTTGAACAACTTGTAAGTTAAGTCATGCAGCTAATACCAGACCATTGATTTTTTTTTTCCTATTTCCTTGATTTTTAAAGCAATTCATTCATTGTAGAAAATTATAGGAAAAATTGTCAGGAGAGTATACAGAAAAAGATCACTCTAAACCAATCATAGTTAATATTCTGGTGAATTTCCTTTCAGTCTTTTTTCTGTGCATTATTCCAATATTTGAGTTAACAATCTTTACAATTTATTATCCTACATTTTTCTTCTGACATTACCAGCATGTTCCCATTTTGTTTGAGTCTTTAAGTATCATCTGAATAAATTCACAAGATACTTCTAGCTTTTATTTTTATTTTTTTTAAAGATTTTATTTATTTATTTGACAGAGAGAGAGAGATCACAAATAGGAAGAGAGGCAGGCAGAGAGAGAGAGAGAGAAGGAAGCAGGGTCCCTGCTGAGCAGAGAGCCCGATGCAGGGCTTGATTCCAGGACCCTGAGATCATGACCTGAGCCGAAGGCAGAGGCTTAACCCACTGAGCCACCCAGGCGCCCAGATACTTCTAGTTTTTAAACACATATAAATAGGTATTTAAAAAAAAAAAAAAGAAAGAAAGGTATTTTGGATATCCTTATGCTCAAAACTTTGTGTTTTAGAATAATTTCTTAGAATAGATGACAAGGTTACATTTACCAAATACTAGAAGCAGGGAAAGGATCAGAAGGAATTTGATTTTATGTAGTCAATGTTATTGCCTTTGAGGACAATCTTATTTTTATAATCCTTAAAAACCTATAAAAAGTTTTACTTGCATCTCCCTTAAATAAGACAGAAACCCTCAAATCAGTTTTTGTTTTCTCTTCTCATTACATTTCCTAGTGAATAAAGAAAACAGTTAGTTGCTATCTTAGTATAATAGCATATTTTAAAAATATCATCAATTTTAAATTATTCTCTTTTCTGAAAGATAAAGAAGTTAAAATAATGATCACTAACTTTACTGAGAACTCAATATGTGCATGTGTGCTAGCATTTTACATGCATTAATTTAATAAAGATAATTACTCAATTGAGAAAAGAAATGAGTATTCACTTCAACAACTAGGTTTAGTGAGCCAATTTGTCAACACAGGAAGTAGGTATAGGCTTCCCTTAAATAAACGTAGAATATAAGAAAAATTGCTTTTAGTCAACCAGGAGATATACCAAGAGAGACTTTCTGATCTTGAGGGATATTACAGAATCTCTAATTAGGGAAGATCAAAAATGGAAAAAGAAAACAATTGGGAGAAGGAATGAATGACATGTGCACTTTTAATTTCTTTCTTTTTAAAGTAATAGATGGCTGAAAATCGAAGGGGTAAAAATGAGAATATCAATGAGAATCAAAGAACAGAACATAGTTAAATGATGAGAAAAGTGATTTTTAAAAAAGTAGGCTTATTGTTTGTGCTACTACTGTACTGTGAATTTTTTTATATTATCTAATTTCATCCAACTGTATGAAGTCAGTGGGATTATCCCCACACAATCCAAGCAAGAAATTGACCTGCAAATGCTTAACAGAATATAGAAGTCTGGGTTAGAAATATTAAGTGAATACACTTAATATTTTCAAAGAGATAAAAGAGGAAATCAACAAATAAAAATAGGTGATGAAACACACAAAATAACCTAATAGTTAAGAAAAATAACCAAAC